CTAGGCTACTATTCCCACGGTCGGCGTAACTCCACCAGGATATCCAGGCCAGGGGCACGCACCCTGCTTTCCTGTTACCAACGAGGATACTTGGCTCACTGGGAGCCTGTTTAGCCTCGCTAAAATGTGTAATGTATGCACCGCCAAGCTTCCAACAGGCTGTTAGGCCTCCTGACCCGACCGGCCTGCACTTCACGCTGCAAGTGGAGCGGGAGCCGGCGGCAGGCCGGCCGGGTGGATCTCATCTGTGCCCTCGGAGGGGGGCCGGCAAGGGGTCCGCCCAGCTGCCGCCCGGCCGGTGTCCCGCAGCGGAGCGCACAATGCCCGCATCGGGGAGCGCGCCGGGCTCGACGTCGCCAAATCACTTTGTTTTGAAGATTTTTCACCGGCGGGCCGTAAGAATGCCGCGGCGACGCCTGAGATATGGAGCGGGCTGGCTGGAAGAGCACCGTCACATGGCCTGTCACTGTCAAAGACCGACCGCTCCACATTCTAATAACTGCCATTCATATCGCTCAGTGTTTGGTGACAGCTGCCGGCCGCGGCATCATCGCCTCAAAGCCGGCAGGGTATCTGGCTCCGGTATGTCATCCTCTCCCAGTCACGGATTCACCGGATCAGCGGCAGCTCGCCGGCGAGGAGGGACCATGACCTGCAGTAAAACTCAGATTAGAGCGTGATCTTCAAATAACGGAGACCCTCTGGCCGGAGGATCTCAGTTAGGTTAAGTCAGGCGGCACGTAAGCTAGCTTTCGAGCATAGCAGGGCGCGCCGTTCTCGAACAGCGTATGTGTATTTCTACCGGTTTGAAACCGGAGGGGTCCGAGCGAGCAGTGGTCAGGTGTTCCGTCTGTTTCGGCGCAGGTTGTGCGGGCCTTAAACTGGGAGGGAAGTGCGGATATCGCACGGCAACATACACGCACACCACTCCCAGTTTGAGAGGCCAGCGGGACGGGCGCCGGTATATGGGGACTAGCTATGTTATGTTCTGAAACAGGGTCTGTACATAAAAGCGTGAAGGTTTCGTTACTTTAGATGCACCTCCTGATTGGAACGATACCTAACCTCTCCGTTTTACAAAAAAGTATTGACACATGCACAGATATCCTGCAAATAAGGCTCAATAGTTTCGTGTTTGCATTTTTCTGTGTTGCCCGTCCGCTGTGTTGCCCTCAACTTCCACGCACCATAGCTGTCCGGATCAATGCCTTTTGGCCGTAATGTCACGTTTGGTTTGCTTCTTCGTTCATATGTTGTTCGAGTTTAGCTTTGAAGAATATAAGGTCGACGTCCACTTGCACTGCGTCTACCAGGACCTTACAGCATCTGTAGAAACCATGTTGGATGAGTGGGCTCTGCAAACTACTTCCCCGCCTCCTGGCCGACCAGACCATAACATGCCGTCTGTTTAGATGTTGACGCTGAACTCTGCTGAGGGCGCAGTGGACCTTTGCCCAGAAGACTTTATTATCTATATCAGCATAATGGTAACGACATTTAATCGGATCCGTCGTCATAAAATATAATAAGATGCCGCTCAGTGCCGTTCATTCAAGCCACAATGGCACAATTATACAGTCAAGCTGCTTTGCCATCTCCGCCTTGCATCACAAAGTTTGGCACGACAGCGCACCGCACCACCGCACAAACCTCACCGCTGCAGAGCGGTGAGGCCCTACTGACATGTGGTCAAACATTGCCACGGTGGTCGGTGGTCACGCGTGTGCACAAAACGCTTATAAACAGCACACAGCGCCGGCCGTTTCGAGCCCCACCAATGGTGATCGCCTGTGAGAGCCGGGTCAGTTTCCACTCAACAAAGTGAGGACCTGTCTTGCCCCCTTGTCTGACATGCGTGTCATGATTTCATTGTACTGCGTTACACAACACATAGTTATCATGACTACCAGTCTAGCAAGCTAAGGAAAGAGATTAATGCGTGGAAGTCAGACGAATAAGGTCTAGGTTCCAGGCAACCAGTTATTCTCAGGTCACTTTAATTTATACCAAAAATAGCAAGCATAAAAATAAAAAGAGCGTTGCGCAGAACACGTTAGGAGCATCATTATCGTTTGCTTTCACTGTTACGGAATCTCTCCGCCACCTTGTCGACGAGGAAGTAGCTTATCTACCATTTTATCAGCATCCCAATCCCATGCGTCGATAATTTATTCATTGGATGACTTGGAGACCCATGCTGGGCACACGTCGGTGGTGAAGCGCTACAAATTGGACGTAAGCAGAGCCTAAACAGCGACGCAGTCGCCGGCGCCGCGTGACAGAGCGACACAGGCTCCGACGCCGCGCGACAGAACGACACAGGCCCCGGCGCCGCGCGACAGAACGTCACCGGCCCCGGCGCCGCGCGACAGAGCGATACAGGCCCCGACGCCGAGCGACAGGACGACACAGGCCCCGGCACCGCGCGACAGACCGATGCAAGTGACGACAGGAACCAGGCTGGCAGCGAATCGATTAAGAGGTACTTTCTCCTTTCGATAAAGTAGAGAAGAAGACACCAGGAAAACGTAGTGTTAACCACCTAAAACGCAATGTTATTGCGTTTACAATGTTTGCAAACTGTCTATATTATTTACTACATTACTATGCAATATATTTCTTACTGATTATAGTGTTAACTGTCCTATGCACACTCACGCTTAAAAAACATTGAAGTGACAACTGAATGGTTCGTTCGTATGCACGGCTATTTATGCATCCCCGCCGAAACACTGACAAGATTTGGTGTTTTGTGTGAATGGTTAGTATTCCGATCCGCCGGCCAAGTTGGTTGGCATTCCGGTCCACTGGCCAAGCGCTGAAACCTAGCTCTAAATATCTGGCCGGCTCTGATGTTCTCTCAGTTCGAAGACCTCGTCGTTTCTAGCAAACCATGCACACATCCGCAGTTGTTCCTTCGTCTCTCGTCTTGCACCGTCACACCAGCCCCGCGGGTACGCTAGCCGCCAAAGTTCCGATCCGTCCTCCAGCGCACTGCTCCGGCGCGCCCCCTCCCCCCCCCCCCCCCCAGCCTCCCGCGCTGCAGGACAAGGTGAGCGGGAAGGGAGGCTGCTGAGCGTTCCCATGTTGCCGGTGACGTTTACGACGCCGTTGGCCGGGCGTCGCGGCCGCGGGGTGTCAAGGCTCTAATTGGCTGTCACTGGAGGGCGGCCGGCGTGCAGCGGGTCCGAACGGCGCACAGGGCTCCCTGGGACCGCGACCAGGACCCAGGAGCCCGTCGTGGGACCGTTCCCGGGGGCGGAGGGCCCAGCAGTCAGCGGCCTTCGAGATGACGGGTCTCGCGGTAAGCGACCAGCTGGCGAGGAGGGTCAGACTGAGGAAGGCTGCGAGACGGCCGGATTCATTGGCAGACGGTTCCTGGATCAAAACCACGTCGTAAACGGATCCCCAGGACGGTAGCTCCAGAAAGAATAAGACAGGTAAATGTCGGGTGTGCCTAGTACACTAACAAACGAGATACTCCTCCATAAAACTGTGTCTGATTGTTTGCTAGGGAGCCAATAAAGACAGGCATACTGGGTCGTATCGCGGTAGCAGAGAGCAACTCATGAAGCAATTGCTGTGATTCGTTTTTTGTGGTCATGACAACTTATTTCCTGTGACTCTTTGTTCGTGTTGTTCCAAACGCTACCAAGTCCCCAGTACTGTGTCACATTTTTTCATAGCGTTGGTTAGACAATGCTTTTTCATGTTAATCCCGCATGAAGTAAATAAAAGCATCCTTCTAAGTCATGCTCCTGCATGTGGTCCGTCCCGCTTGCGCTGCATATACGCTCAAACGTAAATGCTGCACGTTTAGTGACCACAAAATATGTTGGCGGTAAACAAGTTGGACCCCTGGCTAGAGGTCATCGCCACGACCAGAGCAAATGAACCGGAGCATTATTATTATCATGTTTGGCGGGTCTAAATGCTGCGGTTCACCGCAGCAAACACGAATGAATTAACGATGCCTATTTGTTGGTCCCCGAAACATCCTGGATGACTGATGCTGGAATGAAGTTTGCCAAGATTGGGACAATAATTGGAGAGCTGACCTTGTGGGACAGGGATTTAATGAGCCCCACCTGTATGCCGCCTGCGAATGTAGACATGCTGGCGATGGAGACAATTGCTCCAACGGTCGGATGCCTGCCCACCGCGTGGTCCGCGAGGGCTTCTCACCACAACGGCACGGCTCCTGCTTTTATGTCCTTATTTCGACGTGGGATGCCTGTTAACCATGGCTGCGACGTGACTGTGCTTGGCTATATGTCTGAGAATCGGTGACGGGGTCACGACTGCCGCTATCTTTCCATGAGCTTTCGGTGTCTGTGATTGCCGTTTAAACACTGCAAGGGGTTTAATGCTCGAAGGAGCCGTCGCTCAGCACACTTCATTATACTCGCCATCCAGTTCAGCGGCGTTCATGCTGTAGACCGCCACACGACCGCCGCTGTTCTCACCCCAAGACTTGACAGTCACCCCACGGACAGGCACGTCCACCATGTCTGTGGCTTGGCCGTGATAGCGACACCGCGATCCCGCCATTCCATCAGCAGCGAGCACATTCTCGTGCCGGACGGTCTCGCGCGTCGGCGGCGGCCAGAGGGCCCGGTCCCAGCTGGGAGCGCGGCCCAAGCGAACACCCCCAGTTAGGAAGCCCTGCTCCAGCGGACACCCCCGGCCAGGAATGAGACAAGGGCCTGGCTCCAGCGGACACCCCCGGCCAGGAGGGAGGCAAGGGCTCTGCTCCAACGGACACCTCCGGTCCGGAGCAGGCGACAACCCTGCTTCAGCAGACACCCCCGGTCGGGAGAGAGACAAGGGCCCTGCTTCAGTGACACCGCTGGTCAGGAGGAGGCGAGGGTCTGGCTCTTCGGCCTGCTATCGCCGCATCGGCCGTCACACCTGGCGCAGCCGGGATAGTTCTCACGCTTGGGCGGTGGCGGCTGTCGGCTCAGACGGCGCTGGCGCGCGCAGGCTGGCCGAGCCGTGGCATGGCCGACGCTTGGTCTCCGGGACTGGCGCTTGATGGTGCGGTGGCGTTATACAACGGAAGAGGGAAGACCGCATGCTCTTGAAATTGAGATCAAAACTAGATTCTTCGGTGCAGACATCCTAACAGAAGTGAATTTAAGTATTAGAGGCCAGGAGTGGCCAAATGACATCGTTATTGCAGTAATATAGATTGTTCTAAAGTAAGGATTGTAAATTCAAATCCACTATCCACTTTTCTGTGCACATGCAAGGGTGGGTGTTCAGCGATGCTGGCAGACAGGGTAGAGTCGCTGTGTGACCACCAGCCAAGGAAGTTTCCCTTTACTTGGGCAGGGAAAAGTGATGACTTATGCGAAATGCGCCGCTCATGTTTTTTCAAGTCGGTTGAAACGATGAAGTGCTGATGTTTCCGCGTTTGCTTTCCGCGTAGTACCCTCCACTACAGCACACAAAAGCTAACATTATGGCCTGGGCGTGGCATCAGCCCACCGGCCGGGAAGGCGAGCCTCGGCGATCTGTTGCCGACGCTGCCACCCGCCATCGGAGATCTGCTGCCGACCCTGCCACCCACCATCGGTGATCTGCTGCCGACCCTGCCACCCGCCATCGGTGATCTGCTGCCGACCCTGCCACCCATCATCGGTGATCTGCTGCCGACCCTGCCACCCATCATCGGTGATCTGCTGCCGACCCTGCCACTAGCCATCGGTGATCTGCTGCCGACCCTGCCACCCGCCATCGGAGATCTGCTGCCGACCCTGCCACCCGCCATCGGTGATCTGCTGCCGACCCTGCCACCCGCCATCGGTGATCTGCTGCCGACCCTGCCACCCACCATCGGAGATCTGCTGCCGACCCTGCCACCCACCATCGGTGATCTGCTGCCGACGCTGCCACCCACCATCGGTGATCTGCTGCCGACCCTGGCACCCGCCATCGGTGATCAGCTGCCGACCCTGCCACCCACCATCGGAGATCTGCTGCCGACCCTGCCACCCACCATCGGAGATCTGCTGCCGACCCTGCCACCCACCATCGGTGATCTGCTGCCGACCCTGCCACTAGCCGTCGGTGATCTGTTGCCGACCCTGCCACCCGCCATCGGTGATCTGCTGCCGACCCTGCCACCCACCACCGGCGATCTGCTGCCGACCCTGCCACCCGCTCGCCCAGACGTGACCTTCTGGTCCCCGGTCTCCAGAGGACAATCGAAGCATTAATCAGAGGGGCACGGGCCAGCCGAGCTGGGCACATGGCTCGGCCGACCCGCCCGGACCCCGTCAGCCCTCGGCAGGCTGCTGTCGGGTCAGATCCACTTCCAACGCATTGCGTGAGTTACTCATGAGTAAGCATGCTGTCATTGCATTTGCACACTACGTGACTGTCTTTGGTTTTACACGGGGCCACATTTAATAATGGGGTTATCATGCTGTTTTGTATGAAATCTTTGCATTCTCGTGCTTCTGTAAGCAGCATTTGAATTATTGCTCCGATCTACATACTTGTTTTTCGCGTCACGCACTATGAAAACATTCACCTCGTGGCAACTGACACTCAGCACATGTCTTCCCCGGAGCGTTTTGTGTGTGTCTGTACACAATCCTTCCATCGTCTTAACACGTGCTGGAACTGGCTTCACTGTCTTGGTCGTCGTAATTGGGTGCTACCTACGTAGTTTCGTATGATTGAATGGTCCCAGCTGTAGGCAGCGAGCGTGGTAATCCTTACTTATCGTAATTAATCGCCCATTAACACATGCTAAATTCATGTCACGTGAATTCGTGTTCTGCAGCGATCCGAGCACGGAAGAAGCCCACTCAGATGGTCATTCGTTCACTGAGAGTTGATTAATGGGAGGCTTGACGAGAGCAGTGGCCCCAATAGAAGTGTTCTAACCTCTGAATGGCAGCACGGATCACAATTGGACCGGTCTTCCTTCTCGCTCGGAGACCGGCCCGGGGCGGTGTATTGGTTAATGCGCACGACCAGCCACCTCCGACCAGCCATGGGAAATGCAGTCGTTTGGGTACGATTTGGCCCTAGGTATGCCCGGCTGTGCCTTGGGGTAGAACAGTGGCCTGCCCATCCCAGCCGTGTTCAAGCACGTATGCTACCATGACCTTCTGTTGGCCCTTCATCTCTCCTCTCATACGCAGTAAGCACGGGAGCCTCCAAGAGATGGAACTTAGTCATGAACACTGCTGCATGGTGGTGACTAAGGCCTCATGCATTTTTAAGCTACGTCACGCCACAAATGTGTACATACTTTGTGAAGGCATAGCGCTGGTAGTCGTCGGACGGAACATCAGCCCCCTGGCCATGCGGAGCTCACCTTGGCTTGGAATGGCCTCTGCGTGAGCAGCGGTTCGCCGATCGGCGCTGTTTCGCCTCCATCGGCCCACAGGTCAGTGGTCGATCGATAGACCTCTGACCCCTGGCGCTCGGCTGACCTTGACCTTTGCCACGCGCCCCGCATCCGGTCTGAGCCGCGGAGAATCGGTCGATCTCAGTCGCCGCCGGCGCGTGGACGTCGCGCGCAGTTGCTGGGCAGGAAATCGGGGGCGTTACTAATAGCCCTACTGACAATGCTCTGCAGCGATGATCGGCAATGCTCTGCTGGCAATGCTCTGCTCACCAGCGGCTGCAATCTTCGCAGGCTTGACGCTCGCACAGGGACAGCTGTCACCAGCGGACTGTTGTCGTTTTCCCAAAACATCATATGTGGAAATAATTTCTGATGTGCCTTAAACAACTTTGATATTCGCGACTGGTTTTAAGTTCGATGCCAATAGTTATCCCGATTGAGGGGGGTTGACAACTGACCCACACACTGGAGTTAGCGTGCAGTGCTAAGTATGTTGGGTTCATGGTTCAGTATCGAGCAGCCTGTGACCAGCGGCTGCATTCTTCGAAGGCTTTACGCTCGCGCAGGGACAGCTGTCACCAGCGGACTGAAGTCTCTGATCCATTTCCTGTGTGGTGCCGCCATAGCAGTCGGTATGCAGCGTTAGCCTCGTCATGCCTTTTAGAACCATGATTTTCGAGGGGAAGCCTTCGTCGCCGGACTGTGGCCGTGCTCTCGCTGTGCCGGAGCCGACCGGACTGTGACCGGCTGCGTCGTCTGTGAGCTCCGCGCCAGGTCCATTAACAGCCGACCGAGCTGGCGTGAAGCCGACTTTTTGCCGCGCCAGGCTGGCACCGAGCAAAAACCGCCGGCAATGACGGAATTGTTGCGCGCAGCGAGGTGTCCAGTGATTGGACATAATCTGTTTGATTTGTCCGGGGTGAGTCGGCACAAGTGTGGACCCCGTGTGTCCGGACCCGGAGGCCGCTGAATGGAGGGCAGCGCCGCCGCCGCGTCGCTCCACACGCCGCGGCCCGGTCCGGACCGACGCCAACATGGCCGACTGCGGCACCCCGCCGAGGCGTCTCTGGAGGAGCGGCGCTGCGTGCGGCAGAACGATGACAGACGATCCTCGGGGATCTGAGTGGAGTTAGGAGTCTGTTTAGATCTTTCAGTCATTCGCACGGTCACTGGGTGGCGCAGAGATCTGGATTTGCACAGTTGTTGATAGTCACCTGTTGGTTTAACCCACATATCCCATTAAGCAGAGGCTGGCAATTTCCAACCCATCCCGGATGCCCTGCTATTCAAGTTGGCAAAAACCCAGTCCTGCTCTGGTTCTTTGCCAAGTCCGGTAGCTGTTGCGCTCAAGAAAGACGGACAGCAACTCTCCCGCTGCCAGGTTATTAACTGCAGTTTTTCTCCCGACGTAAAAGCTGCAGCGCCTAGCAATTATAAAACTGCGGTAAAAAGTAAGATCATTTCAGCGTTACAAAAACTCAGGATGTGAACGCGGTAGCCAGGCAATCTTCCGTCTTTGTTAAGTGTAGAACCCTGTTAGCGACGTTGCATCGTCCATGTTGTATGGTAATATCCCGCAAGCAGCGCAGTTCTCTTGTGGTTATGCATTCCGCCTCAAACGACAAAATTGGGCGCCGCATAACTCGTGACGTAAAACAAAGGAGCGCCGCGTGAGAAGCATTCATCTGCCGCCGAAATTCCCGGACGTAAGGTTGTGACACTCAACAGCTTTTGCCAGTCGATTGCAAAACAGCCTACAAGCCTGGAAGATACGACAGCGCTCTGGACTCGGATGGTATTGTGACTGTGTGTCGTCTGGCAGGACGCCGCCATGTGTGCTCAACTGGTGGCTTCGCGTTTTTAGAACACGGAGGAGGGGCGATAAGTCGTACCACGGTCAGAACTATCATCATCGCCCTCGTTCCCTGCACCCTCCAACTACAGCAAATACACCCTTCTCGCGCCTGCTGCTCTGTAACGTGGCGACCCCCGCGGCGCCAGTGCCCCGCTGCAGACCCCCTCCCCCCCCCCTGACTCCGGCGCCGCAGCCGGCAGCTGCCGCCCGCAGCGGGCGCCGTGCACGGCAGACGTTTAATTACGGCTTCTGTGGCCGGCCGGCGGTGTTCGGAGGCGCGGGGGGCGCAGGCTCAGTCAGCGCCACCGCCCGACCATCCGCGCCGGTCGCCGGCCGCCGACCGCTGCAGCCGTGTAATAGGAGCAGGGCTGCTGCTCGCAGCGCCCGCCCGGCGGGGCTACCCGCTCCGCCATCGGTCTGAGGTGCGGAAAGGCGGCGTCGTATGGTACAGGCCGAGGGCTGGGTCAGTAAAACGCACGATGAGCAAGGCACTGCCTTCTGCGGCGCCTGCACCGCTGTTCATTAATCAGGGACTGTGCGCGGTGTTTGATATGCTGGGAACGCTGGCGCACGCATTGCGCAAACTGTGTGGCCTGACTAATGTAGAGGAAATTTCGTCAGTGACTGGTGCGAATTCAAGAGGTAGGGCTTTAAAATGTGGTTGGAGATCGAATAAATGCCGAAGATGGGGGACGCCGTGAACGGTTCACCTTCGTTTAAACAGCGATGCGGCAACAATATTACTGAAACACAAAGGTGCAACGGTAGACACAATTATTGTCACTTATATGTACACGAGCACCTGCTTGTTAATGACGGAGGGTGTTCAGGTATACCCATTGCTCCTCGCCCCATCCTTGTTCGCGGTGTTACTGAGCCGCCGCGTGGCTGTTACCGGCTGTGACCTAATCCATTCGCGGGCTCGTGGTGACTCTTTCCGTTCGCGAGCGTACGTATCTGGGAATCGGCAAGCGTTTTCTCCGATGCCACCACCGGAAGCTTTTGTCATGAACTTTAAATCAATGGAAACCACAAGTGGTTTTACCCGCGAATCGACATTGCACAATGCATGACCCAGTCCGACAAATGCCGTCATTGGAGACATATTGCGGTCGTAGATCAAAATCAACCCACTTAGTTCGCCGCGGCCTGCGAGCCCGTCACTCGGCCCTCAGATAAAACTGCCGCCGGGAAATCGGCCCAGTAAAGGTGGGCGCCTGTCGCGGACCGAGCGTGCAGAGGCTATCAGCGGGCAGATCTGTCGGCGGCCGGGGTTCTCACGCGCCGCCGCGCGCCCAGCCGCCGACCTCCGTGCAGCTCTGGACGGGGGCCCGCCGGGCTAATAACAGGCCGCCGAGTGTGCCCCATTAAACATGACAAATATGCGACACTCGGGCCCATTGTGTACACTGCGCTGTTGGCTGGCTGACAATGGGATGAGGCGGTGCGGTCGCCGAGCCCGGCTTCCGCCGCTTTCTGACATGAGAAACGCCCGCACGCCTATCACAGCCGATCTCGCACAGAAATTGAATAATGCAATTAACATTAATGGTGCGTAAAAACGACATAAGTAGCTAAATTGAGGATGTTGGCATCTGTTCAACGCGCGCCTCATAAAAACATGAGTTATCTTCCAACGGAATCACGCAGAGGATCGCATTTAGTTCGCTTGGTTCCTTACTTTGTACGAACAATGACGATGCGTCAGATGCTGTCCAAAGCTGGTATGTATGCACCGCGACATATCCTCAGACGGCTAAAATGCGTGTCAAGTTCGGTACAGTTAAATGAATCAGGCTCCAGTACAGTCCAGACGTTCATGCCCAGGTGACGGTTTGGTTTCCTCCAATAATGACACATTTGATTGCATGGGTGCTCATGCAGTTGTAGGCTATGAAACGAATATCATTAATAATTTAATGCATACCCTTACAGCATATGTATAACCACGGTTCCTTGATGATTGCACACGT